AGCCTGTACACGGCTCAAGGTCACAGAATCAGAAAGCTAAGGACAGCTAGTCACAGACAACCACCTAGGCTTTTCACCACAGCCAATCAATAACCTTGTTGTATTGCTTCTGCTTTTTCTCTGTGAAAGTCTCTTTTGAGTTCCTTTGAGTAGGGTATACAACCACTTCTGGTTTGGCCCTGTTGAACTTAAATCCGTTTTTTTCAAATAAACTCTTAAAAATTTTGATATGTCTCAGTTTATCTTCGAACACTAAATGTTTATTGCTGCTTGCTTTTGATTATGTGTATTTTGGTTTTTGTAATAATTCTCCAGCCAGTTTTGGAGCTAAAGGAGATATGCAAGAGAGTGTGTTCCTTTGAATAGGATGCATCGTGTACAGAGATGCTGGTTCAAAAAAAATGCAAAAATCTAAGAAACAGAAACCTACTAGGACCAAACATTTGGAAAGAGATGGTGAGCAGTGTTTCTCAGATGGATCTGATTCTTCTCTTAATCTCTGTTTTAAAAGGGAGGTCATTATTTGTAAACCTCAGTGAACTTCCGTAAGTAGATTACCACTGGCATGCATGTAGCCAGCACATGGGGAAGCCTCATTCAGAGGTAGCTGTGCATCACACAGACAACTTCTCTCTGGCTGAAATGCAAATGCAGCAATAAGAACACAAAGCAATTTGTCTTGCCATTGTACAGTGTCATTGGGAAAACCTTTTCCCCATCTTCTTTAGTCTGCGAAACAAAATCTCTATTGATAGTGTGTGTTAGTTTGTACGACTTTTTAACATTGAGCTGACTGGGGTGACGTCGGTTCACAAAGCCATAGGCGCTTCAAGTATGTGACTCAACAAAACATCATCCTCCCACTGCTCGGGGAGTGCCCATCGCCCCAGGCGAAGTCTCTTTCGGTTGCCATTTCCCCCCCATTGCCCACCTCCACCCTCCCCTCACCCCCCTCTCCCTCCGGTAATGCCACACTGTTGTCTGTGTCTATGTGTCGTGTGTACATACATTTTTTTTGCTTAATTCCTTCACCTTCTTTCATCCAGGCCCCCTAAACCCCAGCCCTCTGACTGCTGTCATTCTGTTCTTTATGAGTCTGTTTGGATTTTGTTCATCAGTTTATTTTGTTCATTAGATTCCACATATAAGTAAAATTGTATGGTACTTGTCTTTCTCTGACTGGCTTATGTCACCTAGCATAATACTCCTCAGGTCTATCTGTGCTGTCTTAAAAGGTAAGATTCTATCTTTTTTTGCAACCAAGCAGTATTCTATTGTGCACATGTACCACAGCTTTTTTATCTGCCCATCTACTGATGGGCATTTGGACTATTTCCAGATCTTGGCAATTGTAAATAATGCTGCAATGGATACAGGGGTGCCTGTGTTCTTTCAAAGTAGTGTTTCGGGTTCCTTTGGATGTATTCCCAGAAGTGGGATCCCTGGGTCAAAAGGCAGTTTCATATTAAAAATGCAACTGTTATTACTTTTGAATGCTTCCTGGATGGAAGATATTCTCTGGGTATTTCTAAATTTAGTGAATTTTTTTTAGAGAGGCACTATTTTGAATAATTTTCTTAATTAGGAAGACTAAATATAAAGCCATGTAGAGCTTCCTGGAAATGGTGGAGGAAGGCTTGTTGTGTTAACAGAAAGCAAACTTTAAATAAGGGAGTGATTTAGGTAGGCTGGAAGTGTTAAGAGAGAGGGAGTGTTGAAAGGGATGTCCAAGGGGATTAAGTGGTTGAAAGGAAGATTGAGGCATGATGAGGCTGCAGAGTTGACAGGTGAGGGTGAACTTGGGGTTTCACAAGTGTCAAGGCCAGCGATGTCACTGTCCCAGGCAGGGGAGAAGCTGAGTTAGGGCGTGAGTGGCTGGAGCTGGAGGAGATGCATATTAGACCGAGTGTGAGTTGACTGCATGGAGTGTGTTCGCTCACGTGGGACAATGCTTCAGTCACCAAAGGCAAGGACTTTTAGGTTATCCATATTGGAAATAAATGTAGGATTCTCCTATTGACACTGATGAGGTAATGCTTCCTTGGGGTATAAGGATAAATATACTTGCAGTGTTAGATTCTCATCATTACATGATCAGTGCTTAATCTGTACTTGTTAAACCCTCTACTATTGAAAAGAAGGAGATTGTAAAAGCTGGAGTTCATTGCTGGGTTTACAGAAGGGAAAATCAGCTTCTCATGTTTTCATTAGGACGTTTCAGTCTTTTAATGGGAGATATGTATTTTAATATTTTTTTATTTAAAAATATATTAAAAACCCAAATGATATTAGTATGTCAAGTGGCCTTTGTTCTACTTTAGGAAAAATGTTAAATTTAAAAAATGTATTTCGTGACAATAATTTAAATGTTAACCAAAGCATTTATTTGGGAAGAAATTTTTTTTAGGTCCTTTGAGGTTTATAATCATTTAGAAATCATGGTTCTTTGTGGTCACTGGATTATGGAAGTTATAAAGCAATAGAAAACAGCTTTCATGTGTGGTTCAGTTTAAACACTAGAAAAGTATTTTAAAGAACATAATGAATTTGAATATCCTCTCTATATGTTAGCATTAAATATGTTTAGAATATAAGTTATGTCTTTCAGATGTTGAGTATTAATTGAGTAGGTTGATGTTTTGACTAAGTTCAGAGGAAAAAAGAAATTGACCCTAATGAATATTCAAGAATTTTCTATTTTTAAAAGATGAAACATGCACATGGTGGTTCAAGCTGGTACTTCTGCATTTTCTTCATGGAAGAAGTATTCCTTCTGAAGAATGAACACACAGGAGGAATAGAGTATTATCACCCCAAAGAAGCTGAATTATTCTGATAATCCAGACTACAATCTCAGCCAGCATGAGAAGTGAGACAGTCAGATGTCCCAGCAGAGGGAGCTCGGAGGTGCTGAAAACAAAAAGGGAGGAAGGGACAAGAGGCCAGCGGGCAAGGCTAGGGGAGATGTAGTAAGGACTTTGGACTTAATCCTAAGAGTAATCGGGAAGCAATGGAAAGAGTTGCAGCAGAGACAGAATAACCGCATTAAAAACATAAACATATATCCCCCTAGCTGTTGAGAGGTAAACAACAACGGGAGGGAGGAAGGTGAGAAATCCATTTCTGTAACCTGAGGGTGCAGCGACCCTACTGGACAGAGGGGGCGGAGCCGGAGGAGAGCGAGCACAGCTGAACCCTGAGTAAGCCAGCAGGACGTGGTCGCTGTGTTGGGGGTGGGGGGTGGGGGTGATGCAGGGTGGTGAGCAAGGGGAGTCTAGATTTCTGCTGACACAGGCTGAAAGCACGGTGTTGATTCTTTTCAATGGTGTTGACTTTTAATAATAGGAAAAAATGCAGGAAGGCCCGAGTCGATCTCCTATAAGAGGAAAAATGTGAAGAGCTCTCCCAGAAATCCCCGCGGCAGCAAAACGCTCGCCTTCCGTTACCACATAAATGCGCACGCACACAAATACAGTTTTCATTTCCAACAAGCCTGAGGAGTTCAAATTAATGAAGTCAGAATAATTTGTTATGGCCCAATGGACACACATAAACATAATTGCATGCATATGCATTTTGGAAGTTGTCAACTTTATTTTAATTGGATGGCAACTTTACTTCCCTCTGGATTCATTAATTGAGTGCCTTATAGTCTAGTCACTGTGAGGACAAAGATAAATAAGATATAAGTTCTACCCCCAAGAAGCTCATAGACTGGTGGTGGTAGAAACAAATGTATTAAAACTCTGATGTTGTGCCATAAATCTAGAAAAAAGTAATTAGCCAGAGCACAGGGCCACGGATGAAGGACGAAAAGCCTGATCAGGAAGCACAGTGCCGATCAATCATTTGTCAGCATTATTCACCCCCCGTCCCCATTACACACGCACACACACCCAGGTGTGTGCAAGCACACACACACACACACATTAATACATGGACCTCCATTTTGGTTTCAAATAGTTTCAGCGCCAAACATAAAATCCACTGAACTTGGAAAAAAATAGTAAGTTAGGATTCCAGAAGGTTGTAAACTATAGTTTCTGCACCAACATCTTTTTATAGGTACAAAATCTCTGTCTTTTTGTCTAGACCATGTGCCTCATGCGCTCTCAGTATGGAGCTGATGGCAAGAATAAGTAGAGCAGGTGATGCAGTGAGTTGCCTCTATTTGTAGGGTCTTGGAAGTGTATGTCCTCTTTGGACCGGAACCCAGGAAAACTCTGTCTGAGTTGTTTACTTCAATTCATCATCTCATTCTCCTATAGCTTCAGACAATTAGGAAGTCGGATTATTTATAGTCCCACATCTTATTCTTTGTTTTAAGTGCTTTGCTTTCTAAATTGTATTGATCTCATTTTCCCTTGATTTCATTTGGGCAGATATTTCATTGCCTGATGGAGGGATAGAAAATAGAGTAAATTGTTCCAAGAGCTGATTCTCAGAATACCATTTTCTACCTTCACTGAAGATTTGGTACTAGTAATTAGCAATGTGTGAACACTGGTTTTAAAACATATATTTTAATTTCAGCCACAAGTTCACAATGTACAGAAAGGACATTTTATGTAGTGGAAAGAAATAATAGCTATCATTCATTGAATATCTACATTATGCCTGCATTTATATATATATATATATATATATATATATATATATATATATATATATATATATATATATATAATAGCATTGTGTTCTTAAAGCCAACCCATGAGGAAGGTATTATCACTCCAGGTTTATTGTTAAAACCGAGTCTGGGAAATGTTAACTTCTCCAAGGTCTCACACCTGGTCAGAAGGTAAATCAATCTACCCTCTTCCTATTCCCTTCTCACTTTCTGGAGTAACAAAAGAAATTGCAGAAATTTTCCTGGAAGAGCCATGAGCTATTTTAAGATCAGTAACAAAGACTAAAAAGCAGCAGGAAATAGAGAAAAACCAGTTTGTCTGATATTCATGTATAACAAAATGGAAAAGAAAAATGTTTCTGTATTTCAGTTCACTTCTGGTATGATTAAGAAGTCATGCTTGCCTGTCCTGTTGTTTTACCTTGCGAGAGAAAAAAAAAACCAACTGTGAGTTGTATTCAAGCCAGAACAGTCCCAAGGTAATCGGAGAACACTTATTCCTTTGCTGCTTAGGAAAAATAATCTGTTATTTTCAATTTCCTTTACTGCTAGATTCAATCTGCTGTTATAAAACATTACATGTGATTTTTAAATTTTTAATTCCAGTTTATTATTACTTTTATGAAATGCTTAATTGACATGAAACATCTGTCTGAGAATTTTTTGATTTGTAATGGTATAAATAATCTTTAGGCGTAAAAGAAATTTGAATATGGGCTTGTTTTCTGGATTTTATGCAACAGAACTCAGTGGGAGACTTGGGACTCTGAGGTCAGATCTTTCATACTGCCAAATATTGCTTGAAATTGAAAAGTAGATCTGGCTTTCATAAACATAATGAAGAAGCAGAAGGCAACATTTGAATTTAGCCTCCAAAATATTAGTTACTTTCTTTTGCACATTTTTTTCGTTTTAATTTTAGCATTTGAATAGCAAAATAATGATCTTGATTCCATTCTCATGTGTCCCAGTTCTTTTGAAAATGGAAAAATGTTGAAAGAAGGTGGAGGAAATGGTGGGATTTGGTGTGGCCCCCGCACCCCGTCCCCAAAGTCCAACTATCTTTGTGTTGCTAACGCTCCTTAACTGGAAGCGTTTGGAAGCGTGCTCAGAGAATTTTGTTGACTCTCTATTAAAATTAAACATATTTATAAACGCAAGGAAGACAGCTGCTTATGTTTTCAAGCGAATGACCGTGCGTCCAGGGGAAAACCGGACAACTGGCTACTTTTCAGAAGACTCGTTAGGGGTTCCACATGTCGTTTGTTCGCTGAGACCCATGACTTCATCCCCGTTGGGAGAGGTAGAGTTGACGAAGAAAATTCTGATAACATGAATTAATTGTTTTCATGAGAGTTAACTTTATAAGACCAGGACAGATCGGAAGAATGGGGTCTGAGCAGCCGGGTAACTGAAGTAGGAATCAGCCACAGGGCATCATGTTCCGTTCCCCTGAATCACAGAGACATGATCAGAGGGGAGAAAGGAAACTAAATTTTAAATTATGTATAATAGGTACAGATTTGATCAAAATTTTTACTGGAACTAAGCACAGTACATTTGCTGGGCATTTTGGTATTTTATTGCCCAATTGAAATAGACCAACTAGTAGAAGACCAACTGGTTCACTACCACTAAACAGAAGACACAGGTAACTCATCTTCCCAAGGAACACACCCCCTCCCAATCAGAGCAGACTGCCCTGCAGAGCGTGGAGGACTGTGAACCACAGAGACCGCGTTGTGTGACTCCAGCCCGTGTTACCGTGGTCTCCTCCCCCTCGAGGGACTGGAAGTGCTTACTCACGTATTAATGCTTTGTCCTCGGCCACCAAGCCCAGGCCAGCACCCCCCTCCTCTGCTGCCCCGTGCCCTGTATTTCCGAGACAACACGCGCTAATGTAGTGTGACAGCATCCTCTTTGTCACGCCTGCTGTCCTGCCCGATCTGAAAGCCCGTTGGCGGCCAGATGCCGTGTTTGTAAAGACAGCACCTGGCAGCTGACTGCTCCCTGCTTATCTAGACAACGGCGTCCCGCAGCCACGGCTTTCTGTAAAGGGAGCAAGCAGTGGTTAATCGTGGCTAATGCTTGCTCTTCTGTGTGGAAGTCTTTTCTAAGTGCAAGGTCATGAGACATTTTTCTATTGTTTTGTCTTACACTTTTAGGTCAGTGCTGTATTTGGAGTGACTTTTAAGGTGATGAGGTGTCACAGTTCGTTCCATGTGGAGATATGGTTGAGACAGCACCTTTGCTGAAAAAAGGGAAATATTTCCCCAGACTAACTGGTCACAAATCAGGTAGCGCAAAGGTGTACAGGTCTGTGTTAGGACTCTGTTCTCTGCCATTGGTCTATTGTCTTATGCCAGTAGATCATTGTCTTAATTATTATAGCTTTGTTGTTTTATAACCAATTGTATAATTCCTCTAACGTTGTTCTTCTTGAATGTTTTGTTGTCTAGTTTTGAATCTTGGCATTTCTAAACGAATGCTAAAATCAACCTGTCAATTTCCACAAAGTAAACAAACCTTCTGAGGTTTTGAGTAGAATGACACTGAATCTACAGGTTAAGTTGGGGAAATGTGTCATCTTCACAATTTTGAGTTTTCCAGTATATACACATTGTATATCCCTACATTTATTTAGTCTTTGTTTCAGTAACATTGTACTTTCTGCGACATAAATTTACCCATCTTCTATGACACCTTTAATTATTTTGATGTGTTTGATGCTACTATAAAATGATACTGGTTTTTAAAATTTGATATTTGTTAAGTATTTGTTTCTAGAAGGCAGAAATACACCTGATTGTATATATTGACTCTATATCAAATAAGCTTACTAACTTCACTGTTCGTTCTAATAGTTTGTTGAATGATTTGAAATTTTTACCTTACAAACCACATGATAGGGAAATGAGTACTTTACTTCTTCATTTCTGTTTCTATTTAATTTTCTCTCCACTGGCTAAGACCCCTTCTTTTGAATGATACTGAGCACTAGACGTATTAGCAGGTACTATTCTCATTTCTGATTTGGGGGGAAAAGCAGTCAACAACTCACCATCCAGGATTATTGCTTTCGGCTTTCTTGATGATAACTGTAATCATATCACTTAGTTTTCCTTCTATTCTTGGTTATATAGGTTTTTTTCATCATAAACTGGTGTTGAATTTTATCCATTCATTTTATTTATCTATTGAAACTTTTCTTCATTTTGTTCATAGGTTTATTAAGTGAATTGTGATGATTGATAATCAAATGCTACATCAATTTTGTACACCTAGAATAGACAAAACATTTTTTGTGATACGTTAACCTTTTTGATCACTGGATATTTCCTGGTGATGTTTCTATTCCAGTTTTTGTATCCAGGTTAGTTGAGGATATTTGTCACAAAGTTCTTGTGAGATCTTGATATTGAGATTGTTTTGAACTTATAAAGTGAGTTGGGAGTATGCTTATTCATTTTCTTTTATCTGGAAACGTTTATGAAAACTTTGTATCATTTTCTAGTATGAAACTATTTTCTTGATATATCCTTTTCAAATAATCTTTGGTGGATCTTAATGACTCTTTTGTCTTAAATATCTCTCACTCATCCATTTATTCACTCATTGAATGACCAGTATTTACTTGCTATTTATTACTCGATTGATGAACTTGAAGAACTTGAAGATTTTAATGCTTTTATCTGTTTAAAAATAAGCACTACTGAACCTAAATAAGCACCTGCATTCACAAACAAAAAAGAAAAGATCTAAATAATTAGGAAGCAATTTTCATTTTTCCAAAGGCAAAACACTACCTTGCACTGTAATTGTAAAAGATGGTTTTCAATAAATTAATTAGGATATCAAAAGGTGGAGATGAGCATGCCCTCTGTACTTATCACTGGAGAGGAGATTCATGCGCATTGACTGGCGTGTGGGAGGATATAGCAACTTCAGACCTGTCATTACAGGCAGACACACCCTCTCCTGATGCATCTTAGAAAATGAGCACGTGTGCTGCTCTCATTTCCGATTTTGAGTTGCTGCAGTTAAAGGCACTGGTGGCCTGCCATTTTCTATTTCCTGCTTCTGTTACTTTGCAAAGGGCCAAGCTGTAGGCACAGAAACCCAGGGTAGGTCTCCCCGGTTGGCTTTTGATTTTGCAAATACCAACAGAGACTAAAACATGGATTTTTTTCTGACAAGTCACATTTTTGTGAAGACGGCAGTCTTTGCACTATTAGGAAACTTGGTTGTCAAACTAATAGCAAATATGTGAGGAATAACGAACGAACCGAAGCTGTCCAGTCTCTAGATGCTCAGGCTGTGTGTGGATTTCAGTGAGTTTCAGTGAGTTTCAGGGCAACCAGCAGGACAGGTGGGTTTGCTCACTGGTGTCCGTCACTGTGGTCGCCCGTCTCGTTTGCCTGGTGTGTGCTCGCTTTCTTCCCTTTCCAGTGGGTTACATGATGTTCCTCCAGCCAACTGTTGTCGTGGGTAGCTATCCCTTATTGAGCAATGTTCAAAAAGACCAGCCCGTTTTGGCTATGTCAACATATATCTAATTTAAACAAGAACTATAATATGCCTAATGTTTATTCCCTTGAATACAATATATTTTTAGTACCGTGGGCCCTTTAAACCTTAACAGTATCTGAAGAAACACCATAAAATTGATTGACTCTTCACCCTATGGTTGGCATTTAGATTGAGATTTATTCTTTCCTATGCCCCACATTTTATATCACTTAACTTTCCCATCGGTCCTGATTTTAATTGGTAAATTCCAACGTTTCATTTCTTTTCTTTTTTTTAAAGATTTTATTTATTTTATTTTTAGAGAGGGAAGGGAGGGAGAAAGAAAGAGAAACATCAATGTGTGGTTGCTGGGGGTTATGGCCTGCAACCCAGGCATGTACCCTGACTGGGAATCGAACCTGCAACACTTTGGTTCACAGCCCACGCTCAATCCACTGAGCTATGCCAGCCAGGGCTTCATTTCTTAATTACTTACCTCTGTGTAAGGTTACACTAGATCATGATGGATGACAATGATAACTGATCATGTGAGCACGTGATATTAATAGCCATGCTATGACTTTCTGTCCTGCTGCAGAACCAATGACACCACAAATGTAGTGGCTTAAAGCAGCACTCCCTGTCTCCCCCGTTTCGGAAGGTTGGGGACCAGGTACGGCAGCTCCACGGGGTCCCCTGGCTCCAGGCCTCTCAAAGAGCTGCCTCTGAAGCGCCCCCCACAGGCCTGCAGTGGTCTCTAGGCTCCACTGGGGGGCGCACTCACTTCCAAGTGCCCTCAGCTGTCTAGGGAGCTGCAGTCCCCGCTCCTGGTTCCATCAGAGTGACCAAGTGCGGGGTGGCGAGAGTGCTAGCGAGATGGAAGTCCCATTCTTTCCTCATCTGCTTTTAGTCACTTTTGCAATGTAATCGCTTTGAGGATGATACCAAAAAAAAAAAAAAAAAGGAACCC